GAGTCGATGGTATAGACTGGAATACTGAGGTCGATTCTTCGGATATCTCAAACTGTTGAATTTCAGTAGCGTAAGATGCTTATGTGCCCCGGGACCGATGGTTGTAAAATATCAAGAATTTTGATAGTTGCATCTACTAGTTACCGGTTGGTCCAAATGAGGATTAGCCTTATTTCTTCCAGTCTCGCTACGTTTAAAAATAGAACTGGAATATCATCATAGGGCTTTGGGAGTTGGGGGTTTTCCACATGGTTCTACCAGTTGCTTTTATCGCTGATCGAAGTTGACCGTCATACAGTACATCTGAAGTCTTCTTGGTAATGATTGGACGACTTCGATATGTGACGGTAAGAGGAACGCCGTGAATCGTGTTTCAGCTTGAAAAGTTGAGCAGACAAGCAGTATCCGACGTTGATCATTTGTTTCGGTAATATTCCTGTATATGAAAACGATTCCTGAATATCTCCCGTCAAGGACATCTGATCATAGTTTGGAAAAATGAACTACTACGTTCAGTAAGTCCGTAGATAATAATAAGACCGCTTCGTCCGCTGCTACTTCACTAATGAGGAGTACTTCTTGCCGAAACTCTGCGAAATCGTTGATCATGGCCAGGGTTTGAAAAATTGCTCTTGGTGAATAATTAGTCAGAATCCTGGCCATAGCAAAATGCTCTCTGAATCCTTCGCCACTGTGCTGAATATGCCGACGTACGTATTCTTGGATCCCCTTTTTCTCACTATGCTCTAGTTCTTCTTCTTCTTCTTCTTCTTCCAACAATGTTCTCCTGAGCTTCGGTGTTCTGCAATTACATCATATTTCTTCCTTTTGGTCGATTGGCTCTGTAACAAAAAATAGAAGAAGATTAAAAACACTTCTACTTCCGTTAAAAAGCTGTGTTGTTGTAACAATCGTAGAGTACTTAAGGATGTGAACACGCCTCAAAATCGAGTAATTAGACCTATGTTACAGGAAAAAGTGCAACATTCAATCGTAAAATTACTGACAAATGACGTATAGTAATAAGAATAATAAAAATAACGGTCGTTAATGGGTTAAGTCAAAATTGAAGAAAATTAAGCGATTAAAGCTACAAGAGAGGAAAGTAGCTGGTCGAGGATAGTATATCGCTGTACAATGGCTCCTTTCTTCTTGTCAATCTGTTAGAACGATTGGCCTTTATCAACATGTTAATATTCGCTGTTTACATGGTTGCTTTCCTAGTGATCTGATCGGATGTGGCCTGCTAAGTGCACTTTTTCGCATTAGTTGAGACAGGTTCTAATTCTGCTGTCACCGACTGCAAAAAGATTACGTCTGTTGTGGCTAACTGACCGGTTAGGTTAAAGAGACATTTTGCTAAGTTTGTGTAGCGTAATTCATGACTGCTACTAGGATTATCATATCTCGAGTGGATCTGTGCGACTATTATAGGTTTATCGCAGCGCAGAATGTTTTAGCAGTTCCAGCTAGTGCTTGTTGAAAAATGATGTGGTTATTTGGATTGTTTAGCAATCGAATAACCTCCCCTTGTTCTTTTAATAATTTGAACCCCCTTTTGGGTATTGTTGGTAAAGCATCATTTTTCGTTTCTGGCTCTACCAGTCGTTCCGTTCTTAGAATCTGCGATAGCAGCTGATTACTTCGGTTAAGCGCTTCATTAGTTAAGTAGTGATATTTGAAGAAACATATTGGTGTTTCGTAACCGGTATTCCCCCTGTCCTGATAAAATAAGTGTCCAGAGTGAGTTCCGTTGTTGGGTATTTATGGTACCTTGTCTTTGATTAATCTCGTTTTTTCACTGGTTACGTAACAGCGTACATCGACACTACAGTCGTCGTTTAAAATCTTCTGTTTGACAACCACCGCTTTTGTTTCGTCTTATGTCCGTGGTATTATACTCCATCCGAAGAGCAGCATTAGAAGTCCATGCTCTCAGCCATCTAGCCAGAAGTTGCATATTCTCCAGCTGAGTTTTGGTGAAGGAACTAAGTGAATGCTATTTGCAGAAAAAACTGTAGAAAAGCACTTTTTAACAATTCGACTGCGTGCAAATTGCGCTGAAGTTAATAATAGCTCTTCGTAATCTCTAATTTGTTGGGAATCTCCTTCCGGGTTGAAAATTTATCTTCATTATAGCTGGTTGATATCAAGTCTCGTCCGTCTAGCTTCCAACAGAACGCCACCGATGAGCTCGGATAGTAGTTCCTCTTAGTTCTGAGTAATTTTCTTGTTCTATTTCTCCTTCCGGAAGTCTTGTCGTCAAAACGTCTACTACTGTTTCATCTTTTAGAAGAGCATTTTCATATCCTTCGATCTGGTTGTTGTAGAGTCGTTCTTGTTTTTCAATCCTTTGATTATGACATCCAGGTATTTCTTGAGTCCATTTTAGTTTGTTGTTCTTTATAATATTGTGTCATTCTAGTAGACCAATACTCCGGCCTTTCATGGATCAAGTGATAGCAGTGAGCATGTGTTAGGCAACAGTACGTTGATTTCTCCACCAATTTCGGATATCAGTCAGACGGTAGTATTAAATGGCTGTTCAGTTCCGTCAAGTTTTGTAACCGTATAAATATAGGTTTAATATACATCAAATGGCTTCACGTTTGGAGTTGGAAAAGTATGTTAAAGACATGTCTATCGGAAGGGGACTTGATCGGCGATGTCATACCCTCTAGGGAGATCTAGAGCTGATATGGGATTTTTTGTCGCCCCTCTGGATTACAAGCTTATGAGTAGGTCCGACTAATCTTCTTCTGTCATTGAGTAATGTGTCTGAGTAGCCACTGAGAATAATAGTAAATTTGAACCCGCTTATGTGTATAAAAAGGAGTTCTTTCCTTTTTATTTTGACAAAGTCAAGAGTCCACTTATGTTTTTAGATTGTCTAAAATCAACCACTGATTTTGACAGAATATAATTGGTTAATAGGTCAAGCAGTCACTGTCCCATTAGGTAGCTTCAATTTGAATTACCCAATTAAATTACCTTCAATATTTAAATAGATTAATCTTCCTAATTTCTGAGTACCTCGAGCTACGTTACCTTCTCTGACAAGTAAAAAATCTCCTAATTTGGTATTTCTGTTTGTTATAACTCGAGGTGGTTTATACGTCTCATCATTTGTTTTTCTCGAAAACTTGAGAGATATTTGTTCTAACAAAATTTCCAAAATTAATTTAACAATTTTAAAGATTCTTGGAAATATTGAATTAATTAATTACTTTTCTCAAGTCAAGAATACTTCTTACCATTCTCATTTTCTTCAATGAGGATTAAACCTACTCTTATCCCCGGTTATAAAAAATCTATCGGTTGTAACACAGTCGGCCTAAGCTGGTCGTAAATAAAGGTCATTGGTCTAGAACTCACTACAGCTTCTGTCTAAGAAACTAATGTAGTCAATTTTTCTTGTGATAGTAATTTCTTCCAATAGTTTTTCTTAAACAAGTTTTTATTAGTCCTATCATTCCTACGTAAAATCCATTCTTCCATATTCAATAATAAAATCCCCTTTGAATATTTTCACTGGAAAAATAATTGATACAGTCCTTAAGTAAACATAAGTTCTTCCTACATTAACTAAACCTTGTTTAGCAAACTTAAATTTAGTTGCATTATCACTAAAAATTTGTTCTTTTTTCCCACGACGTGCAAGAAATCTTTTAAAGGCGTTTAAGAATTTTTGAGCAGTAAAGTTATACACTACTTCTAAGTATAAGGCAAGCGTGGTTATACAAGTAAAGAGGCAAATACAAGTTTTCAATTTATCCTTAGAAGTGTCTATCATAATAAGAACCCGGAGAGTACATGTTTCAATCCGGTTTGGCTCCTAGGTTATCTAAAGCAGTGGAGTAATCTAATGAAAAATGGAAATTTGGATGGGTACGCAAACAGACAAACAGTAACTTTCCCATTTCCTTCAGAGGAGAGTGCTGCACAAGTAAATGTACACGAAGCGCATCACTGAGGTTCAAGGTATTTTAAAGAAGCGAAAGAAAACCAACGATGTCAATTAACATGAGTGTAAAAAAGTCTTGAATAGTGCAATGCGATCCTTCTCGGGTAATTTTTGCCACTGTCAAAATAAATGCTTTGTTTTGCTTACACGTGTCTATGCTATAAAAGCCCTCTGTTGCTCAAAAGCCCTCCCGTATAAAAAAACACAACGTGGTCAGAAATCTTCGAACACTTACATAAATGATTCTTATTCAATATTAGTGAAATTCTCCCTTCATTATGGGTCCTAGAAAGCCAAAGAATTGACGATGGCCGTTATGACCATAGCACCCATTGATATGGAGTCCAGTGAGAATCATACACAAGAATTGTATAGTGATGTATCCGTGACAGGCAATAACAAGTAAACTTTGATAGCACTTTGTTTTGAGGAGACGAATACACAGAATTTTTCCGCTTACCATACTGTTACCATGTTGGTTATGTCATAATTAAGTGTACAGCAGAAAATCGAACGGGAAATTAATATTGTGCTGTTCCTATTGGCATTCTTTTAGCGTTTTGATTTGCACTTCATTCCTCGAGTATGTGTATTGTACATTTTACTGAAAGCAACCTACTTGGAGAAGTAGCACCGATTTTAAAGTGATGCTTTGGTGTGTATTTTGGGGTCTTCAGTGATTGCTGTTCAGAAAAATTTTTGTGCATTCGGAGTTTGCTTATGTTCATATAGCTATATTCGTAGAAATTGCTTGTTTTAGATTCTTGAAGTCGTTACAAAATGTTCCATTGAGGCTGTTTGGCTATCAGACGCATTCACTGTCGGTAGCTGGCTGTAGATTTGCACTCAAGCTTTCGTTTTTCCGAGTGACTATGTTACGCAAACTCTCAGACGTTTTTTTTTTTTTACTTTTTGGCTCCTTAAGTAACGCCAGTTTTTGTTCTGCAAGAACGACTGTTTTAACTAACTGCTCCAAGAAAGCTTCTCTCATGTAAGTATTTTATAGGTAAAATAAAACTTAATAGGAACGTAGAACATGGCGCGAGGCCCGAAAAAACACTTGAAGCGTTTAGCAGCCCCAAAACATTGGATGTTAGACAAGTTAGGGGGTAAGTTTTGATTTTTAGGGTTACATGAATAGTCTTCCGTCATCGAAATTGATTTTGTGTATGATTTGACATTGTATACGAAAAAAGTCTATTTAAATATATTTGTCATTCGTGAGTTTCAGGGATTAAGCCTTCAAGCAAGTGAGTTTCTACTGTGATATTTTTAAGATCTTTGTTGAGAAATTCGTCTGTAGCAACAAGTAAAAGATTTCAGATGCGGTTTTTTTCTAACGGTTTGATGACACCTATGGTAAACTCATTTATATTTTAGGCGTTTTTGCACCTCGGCCAGTTTGTGGCCCCCACAAATTGAGGGAATCGCTGCCCCTAATTTTATTCTTACGAAACCGCTTGAAGTATGCATTGACTTACAACGAAGCGCGCATGATTTGTAAACAGCGACTAATTAAAATTGATGGCAAAGTTCGCACTGAGATGCGATTTCCAGCAGGATTTATGGGTTACTTTTGAGTACTTCTCGTACTTGAAGGCAACAAGCAAATCTGTTTCTGATTTTTGTTTTATATTTTTTAGACGTCATTTCGATAGAAAAGACAAATGAGACATTCCGCCTGTTGTACGATTCGAAAGGTCGTTATGCTGTTCACCGTATTACTGATGCAGAGGGCAAAATTAAACTTTGCAAGGTTGTTAAAAGAGGTGTGGGGCCAAAAGGCGTGCCTTACATAGTAACTCATGATGCGCGTACAATTCGTTACCCTGATCCACATGTTAAGGTAACAGAACTTCGTCTTTGAAATATAAAATTTTTTTTACTTCACCTTATGATTTAATCATAAAGTGAAGTAGAAAAGAAGGTGAAATATTCGTTACTACTGTTAAATATACCTTTAGTGAAATCTATTGGAAAAATGTAGTTGCTAATTTTATAAACTGATTTTGAAGGTGAACGATTCTGTTGTTCTTGATATCGGGACTGGGAAATTTAGTGATTATATCAAATTCGATCAAGGTAACTTGTGCATGGTCACTGGAGGGCGTAACACAGGTCGTGTTGGGATCGTAGGTCATAGGGAGAAACATCCAGGTTCGTTTGATATCGTCCACATAAGAGACGCGGCAGGACACTCCTTTGCCACCCGGTGAGTTTGAAGAATTAGTAAATACCGAGATCTTTTCACAGCTTGCTGCCTAGTTTGTAATGGCAGTTTTTTTTAACAATTATTGTTTTTAAATGCGGTATAGGGACAAAAAAATGTTAGGGTTTTGCAACTGTGAGTAGTATATATGGTGATCTTCTGGCAGTGAGCGGTCAATGAACAAATCTCGGTAAGGGTACTCCCCTTTAATGGTGGTGAATTGAATGAGGGCCGGGGCCTTAAGGCATAACCACCGGTCAAGGTTTGTTCATTTTCTTTATATCTTAAAAGTGTGATGGTCGCTGTACAATATTCGTTCTCCACAACTTTAGTCTAGGAGTGATTGGTAACGTGCCCTAATAATGATTCGTCCCAGATTATTTAGAGGGTGCATGCCAAGAGTTTTCAAAGGCTTGTCAGTAACTCTTTACAGTTGAATGAAATTGCGTACAGGATAAGTAAACTAAAGTTCAATCCGTTTTATGCTCAGGACGAAATAGATTGCGTCTCTAGTCATATTAACTTCATCATAGAAATCAAGAACGCTGGCTTCAAGTAGCATTCCGATTTACTAATGGAGTCCTATTTTCTATCACTGCCTGTGGAGTCACCGCAGTTTTTCTCAAAATGTCAATAAAGCAGTGTTTTCAGGTTGAGCAACGTGTTTATCATTGGAAAAGGCACGAAATCGTCGGTTAGTTTGCCTGGTGTGACAAAGGGTGTCCGTCTTACCATTGCTGAGGAAAGGGATCGGCGGTTGACACAAAAGAAGACTGCTTAATATCGTTGTTGCTTTATGATTTTTATAAAATTGCTGTTGTGAGTATAAAACTTGTTGGGTGTTGTTGCTGTGCTTTCTCGCTGCTTTGCATCAAAGCGCTTGTGAGACTAGTTCTCCTATTCCTAATTTTTTCTGTCTATTATTTTTTTTCTTGATTACCTTTTCCCCGGAAGTGAAGAGCTCTCATCTCACTGTGAGGTTAGGTGGTGTGTGTAGTTCAATGAGAAGTAATGGTCGTAGGCTACGAAATTAGATGATGAACGGTGAGCCGTCGTTTTATGGTTAAAGTTGCAAAGTGTCTCATTAACTCTTGTCTTTCAGCCGTTAACGCAGTCGGGTTTTGAGGTAGGTGTGTGGAACAGTTGTCCAGTTTTTAAGTATAAAGATTCTGTAATTAGGTCTTCTGAGTGGATGTGAAACATGAGAGGTTAAGCGTTGGGGTACTTGTGGTACTGCCGTTTGTTGTGTGGTTTTACTTGTCGTAGCGGACAAAGGAGTAGCTGAGAATTTAATGGAGGTATAGTTGTAGTTAGTTTGCTGGATAGGTTTGAATTTGGAATTGGTGTGTTTTTTTCTTTTTAGAGAAGCACTTTGTGTGGAAGCGCATAGTATAAGCTAGGAGAGGCGGGTGTCATCTGTAGCTTTTTTGAGAAGTGTTGCTTATGCGAGTAGCGCAAAGTTATAAAGAGCTTTGGTCGTCATTAAATGGAGTCGTGTGTGTTCACAAGCCTCGGGACGTCTCGTTAACAGCACTGAAGAAGCTGCTAACAACAGCTATTTGTAAAGGAGTTAATGAATGTTGTCCACAAGAAGAGCTTCCTAGTGTAGAAATACCCGTTGTGGAGCCTCACCAGGAAAGTCAAGCATTAGTGATTGTTGGTACGAGAAAGCTAATTGACTATAGGTACAGTTTTTTTTTTTCATAGCACTTTTCCAAATCGATTCTTTCCGAGACAAGAGTTTTACAAATGTTCCTGTGAAATTTAGCCTGCATCCACTTGTGGTTGGAGGTGCTGTCGTTGAAGAAGATGTTAGGTTAGAACCGTTGACCTATTTCGAACCTTCAAGTTCTGGGGTCTGCTGTGAGTCCATTTTTTCTGGTGTACTTATTAGTATAGCCGTCCAAATATTAGAATGAGTACCTTGTAGTCCTAAAAAATGAGGTGTAGAGTTATGATTGAAAAGCAATGCG